TTTTTAGCTTGTGTAAGATAATTTACGTTTATTCATGTTTAATACTTCCAAAGCTGCCAATCATCATAAATTCAACACTGAAACAACTCCATGCTGAAAAAAGACTCATTACAGAAAAATAAATCTATGGTGTTACCAGATTTCAGTGACGTCCGAGGATTGATAGCTGCTCACAGCCTGTGAACGCAAACAGCAGGTTATCGAGCTAGACACCCCCGGATTGACCTACATAACGTTAATTTGGCAATTTGATGTATGCCAGCTTACAAATACAGTCAGATAACGAACATATGTTAATTTACATAACAGTCCTAAAAAGTACAAATCATTTGAAAATGAAACTAGTATGATAAATCTGGTTGTTACATTTGACATGCCCTGATTTCAAGAATTCGTCATAGTGAACGCCCCATAATGCATTGCGATTGAAAAACTAACATGGCCGCCTTTGTGATACAGAATAGTTTGAATTTGTGGTATTTAGTGTCTCATTCATTGTTATTCAGGAATTTTAAACATATTAACCATCCCCTGGCTTATATTTGCTAATAAATGAGTGAGTACATTTCTACAGGTCTTCACAAATGTTCACCAAATTGAATAAACATTAAACTGGTTTTGTACTGAGTCACACGCTGCAAGCGAGCCACTGTCTTGTTAATGACTATTGTTAGTAGGATACTTTTAGATTACATCATTGTTAATGTCAAAGGTCACCTGATGTAACCCACAATGCTTTAGGGCACTTGTAATAAACATGGCGTTCTCCAAGCTCCATGCTCCAAGTAACACTCACTGTGTGAGTCTGAGTCATTTCTTAGTCTACTGTGCCTATCAGGCATAACATGGTGTCAGAAGTACAAGAAGCCAGCGACAAGTATTCATCTCAGCACTGACAGGATCTGAGAGCAGTGAAGCACCAGAACGTGACAGATTGATGAATGAAGTAGATCTTCCGTAGAGGTTTCTAGAATTCGCGCCATACCACGAGTCTGACAGCAAGTCGTCATATTTGAAACCAAGTCAAGTCGGATAGTCGGGAACACATGTACATCGATTAAACTCAATTCTGAGTGAGTACAAGTAATACGATACTGAACATTATTGTCAACTGCAAGGCCAGTTAGTAAATCATTTTCCGACAGATAGATCAACTTGCGTGTTTACAAGCAGTCGATCTATTTATAGCAATGGCGACATACCAGATACCAGCGCCACAGCCCATGAACGTAAAGGGTGATGTGTCAACTAATTGGAAGCATTTTAAATCGGCATGGGAATACTATGTTGTTGCCACAGAATTGGGAGATAAGTCCAAACCAATACAGGCTGGTGCACTATGCAGTGTTATGGGTATGGATTGTGTCAAAATTATGAATAGTCTCACGACATTATCCAATGAAGATAAGAAAGATCCAACATAAATTCTAAAAGAGTTAGGGGATCATTTCATGCCACAAAAACATTTATTGTTCGAGCGTGTGAAATTTGGATAGGCAAACCAGACTGAACATGAAACAGTTGATCAGTATGTCATGCGGCTACGTCAACTATCAGAATCGTGTGAGTTTGATAACCTAAATGAAAGTTTGATAAGAGACAGACTAGTCATGGGTACTCACGATTCAAATACAAGAGACAGACTACTACGTGAACGTCCAGTCCCAGATTTGAAAAGGTGTATCGAAGCCATGAGAGCTAATGAATTGTCCAAAGTGCACAGAGAACAAATAAAAGGTGCAATGGGTGAAACACAAGACAACACAGTGCATGCAACACAAAAGAGCAAATCACGAATGTATAGCAAATCAGCTAATGTCAAGAAGCAAGGCAATATTGATAAATGCAGGTATTGCAGTTTGAGCCATTTGAGAGATAAGACAAAATGTCCAGCGTTTGGGAAAACTTGCAACAAATGTGGCAAATTGAACCACTTCGCATCAGCTTGCAGGGGAAAACAGAAACCCAGTAAGAAATTTGTACATCACACAGCAGTTCCTGATAGTCAAGATGAAGAATCTGACAATTCTGTATTCACATTTCATCGTATAGGTACAGTGAATAGCAAAGTGAACAATACAGCATTTATGATTCCTATGACATTTCATACAGATTATCCTTGCAAAATGTCTGTACAATTAGATTCAGGTGCAACTTGCAGCGCTATGTCACATTCAGATTTATTAGGTATTGTGCAAGTTGGGAGTGTAAAATTAGATCCTCCTAAAGGTAAAATTAAGCTTTATGATGGTAGAATTGTAAATCCATTGGGTACATACACATTAACTGTCAGTCAAGGGAATAGCCCTAAATGTAACATACAGTTTGATATACTTGAGAATGCACCATGGCCCATCATAGATGGAAGTACATGCATTGAGAAGGGTTGGTTATCACTTGGTGTAAACAAATCAATAAATATGGTGCAGAGTAAGCATTATGAGCCAATTTCAATGGAGAAAATATTAAGCGATTACAGTGATGTTTTCACTGGATTGGGGTGCTTACAGGGTGAATACAGTATAGAGATTGACCCAACAGTCAAACCAGTACAGCATGTACCACGACGTGTACCAGTTCCGCTAAAGGGTAAACTGAAAGCAAAAATTGATCATATGGAAAGGCAAGGTATCATCGCTAAAGTCACACAATCAACAGATTGGATCAGTAGCCTTGTAGCAGTGCAGAAAGCTGACAAGCTGAGGGTGTGCTTAGACCCAAGGGACTTAAACAAAGCTATAAAGAGAGCAAAATATCAGTTGCCAACAGTAGATGAGTTGCTACCCAAACTAACAAATGCAAAGATTTTCACAGTGTTAGATGCTAAGGATGGGTTCTTCCAAGTCAAATTGGACGAAGAGAGCTCACATCTCACCACATTTGGACACCATTTGGCAGATATCGCTATCTAAGGTTGCCTCAGGGAATTAGCAGTGCCCCTGAAGAATATCAACAGCGTCAGAATGAGGTTCTTGCAGGACTTGAAGGTACTGAAGCTATAGTAGATGATATTCTGTGTTTTGATTGTGGAGAAACCATGGATGAAGCACTAGAAGACCATGACAAGAATTTGATACAATTGCTTGAGCGAGCACGAGAAGTAAATCTGAAGCTGAATAAGAAGAAATTCAGGCTGAGAAGAGAACAAGTTACATATATGGGACAACTTGTCACGAGTGAAGGGTTGAAACCTGATCCACAAAAGGTTTCTGCCATTGTCAATATGCCCACACCGACTGACAAGAAAGGAGTTCAGCGCATGTTGGGTTGTGTTAACTATCTATCTAGATTTTTACCAAAGCTGTCAGAGATATGTGAACCACTTCGCAAAGTGATAGAGCACAATGTTGAGTTTGTCTGGGAAAGTCAACAAGTGGAAGCATTTTCTGACATAAAGAAGCTCATTAGTTCTGCACCAGTACTCAAGTATTATGATGTGAACAGAGAGGTCACAATACAGTGCGATGCGTCTCAATCAGGATTGGGAGCCACTCTAATGCAAAATGGGCAGCCAGTTGCGTTTGCCTCCAGAGCATTATCACAAACTGAACAAAATTATGCTCAGATTGAGAAGGAGTGCCTGGCAATAGTCTTTGCTTGCTGCAGATTCAACCAATACTTGCATGGTCGTGATAAAATCACTGTAGAATCAGACCATAAACCGTTGGTTCCGATCTTCCACAAATCATTACATTCAGCGCCAAAACGTTTGCAAAGAATGTTGCTTCGTTTGCAAAAGTACAACTTGCAAATTGAATACTTACCAGGATCCAAGATGTACATTGCTGATACATGTATGTTAAGCAGAGCGTATGAGCAGACAGCAGGACTACAAGAAGACAATACTCCAGAATACCAAATATTTCAACTCGCACAAGATCAGAGCTTATTTCAAGAAATCGCTGATATAAAACAGGTAGAATATATTCGCTTATCTGAGGGAACTCACGAACAAGTCAAATCCTATACATCAGCTGATGCTTCATTACAAACGCTCATGAATACAGTCATGACCGGATGGCCCAGATACACGCGAGGAAATCCCAGTTTGTATCCGTGAATACTGGAACTTTAGGGATGAACTAACTGCTCAGGATGGTGTTCTATACAAGGGTATGAAAGTCATAATACCATTTTCAATGCGTCCACAGATGATCGCAAGAGCACATACCAGCCATTTAGGACCAGATGCTTGTGTTCGAAGAGCACGAGATGTCCTATTTTGGCCAGGCATGATAGGGGAAATCACAGAGAAAGTAAAGTCGTGTAGTACTTGTAATGACTTTTTGGCCAAACAACAGAAAGAGCCATTAATGACACACAGCATTCCGAATACACCTTGGTCCAAAGTTGGACAAGATTTATTCATGATTTACAGAGAAAACTACTTGGTTACTGTAGATTACTATAGTGACTATTTTGAGATAGATCACCTTGAAGACACCACGTCATCAACAATTATCGATGCGACAAAGTCTCATTTCGCAAGACACGGAATCGCGGACATGATGACAGATAATGGTCCGCAGTATACCAGCGATGAATTCTCTGCTTTCGTACATAAATGGGAATTCAAACATACAAACAATTCTCCACTGCACAGCCAAAGTAACGGCAAAGCTGAGTCCGCAGTCAAAATTGCAAAGAAGCTAATCAAAAAAGCTAAACGAAACAACAGAGATATACAATTAGCTTTACTCGAATGGAGAAATACCCCCGATGTAAATGGTTCAAGCCCAGTACAGAAACTGATGTCCAGAAGAACTAGAACCAGAATTCCTACAGCTGAAGCTTTACTTAAACCACAAATAGTAGACGGGGTTCCAGAAAATATCAAAATCAAAAGGCAAAAGGCAAAGGCAGTTTATGACAAACATGCTAAACCTTACCAGAGTTAGTG